TATTTCTATGATTATTCCCAAAACAATTCTAAAGTTCTTGTATCCCTAATGTTAGTCATGTTATTGTTTTACACCTTTGACTTGAAATGAGCTAAGATCACAAGAAATAGGACAATTAGACTCAAAGGGGGCTCAAACAATGAAAATAATGCAAGGTTGGCCTTTTGGCTAGTAGTTTGCAAGAAAGAAATTATGCCTCTATCATGTTAATACAAGATTGTGAAAATATAGTCTCAAAAAGACTTATGGCAAGTTCTAGTGTCATACAATCATAAAATATCAATCAAATCTTAATTTAAATTCTAACTACAGAAAAGTTAATCACGATCATAATACACAAATATGATATTAGAGAAAAAAAGAACAAACTCAGAGCAATTTGACTAAAAACCCAAATCAAATTTACAACATCTGGATTCTGCGAATTGAACGAGAGGTTTAGCCTTCCATCAAAACACTTAACCCAAGCGAGAATAAGCGGAGAATGAGAGAATTCAAGAGAAAATAAAAACAAGGATTCTTATTTTGACCAAATCTCAAAAACTCAGTGTGTAATTGCACCCTCTAATTCAGAACCTTATTAGTCTATTTATTATTCTAATTAGGGTAATATAAGTACCCAAAATTTGGGCCTCAATAATATTTAAAAGCCCAAATACAATTATAAAATAACAAAAGTATAAATGCAATCCTGCAACAATATTCAACAAATCTATATCAACTTCAAAAAATCATAAATCTAAAAATGATAAAATTCTTTGTTGATGTTAAAGATTGAATGTAGTCCACTATTAAAGTTGTGAGTTGTATAAATCTTATGAGTTCTTTCTTCCTAATTCTGCGTTTCTTGTATTTTTCAAAAGATCCTATTTTTGAAGGCTGTAAATTTTTTTAAAAAAAAAACATATTCAATTCTATTATCTTATTTTCAAAATCTTTCACTTTAGTTTTGCACGTTCATTAAATATATAATCGATTAATAAATAAGCATAAATAATTAAACAAAATAAGATAGATAAATATATAATATAATTTTCATAATTCAAATAAAAATATATATATCTCAATCTCAATTACAATTATAATAGAAATAGCGTCAAAATTTTATTAGTCCTAGACAATCTCATAAAATAGAGTAAAACGAAGGTTTCTTCTATCACATAATGCTGTGTTTTTAAGCATTCAACTATTTTTCATTGTGTTGTATATTTTTTATACACTTTTCATTTATATAATGTCACACTATCATAAATTCACTCTTTAACGACTGATTTACACAGCATGGTGGCGAATTTTTTTGTTAAACTCGATTCTCATGAGTTCACTTGGTGATATAGGATTTAAGGGCCACTCCAAACATAAGGCTTTTAAACTAAAGCCTTTGCTTGAGACTTCTAAAATTTAAAGATAAAAAATCATCTTAAAAGTAATCATTTTATTCTAATAACTAATTTTATTTATTATTTAAAATGAATATTATTAATTAATAAATAAATAATATTAAAAGTGCTTTTTTCCAGGAAAACAAACTCATTATTTTATTGTACGTTATTTTTTTCCTTAATTAATAACTATGTTATTTAACTTATTATTTTACTTTTTTTTAATCTATTAGTCCCAATTAAAAGCATATATTTTTTATATTATTTAAGACTGTAACTGTAAGCATTAGAATAAAATAAAGTTATTAACGTATAAATGTCACAAATATTAATATAAATATCACAATATTTATGAAACAATATCTCAATAATTAAATCTAAAATTAATAAAATACATCTTAAAATCAATAATATCTTAAACTAAATAGATTAATATCAATTGAAAAATTAATTTCAATAATTTAGTAAATAATTTGACATCTTTAAAAATTCTCAAAATAATAATAAATAAATATCGCTTTAGGCCTAAATATTAATTGAGTCGACGTTAAGATTCTGGTCCTTCTATGGGATTCTAACTCTCTCTAAAGAGAGGGAGACTTCTTGTTTACAAAAGAAATTTCAAATTCTTACTCTTTTAAGGAGAATTTATAATTCTTTAATTTTATTTTATTAAAATTTTTAGATAAAATTTTAAAGTTCTTAGAATTGAATACCCAAATAATATAATATATGAAACAAAATTCTCTTACCCAATAAATAAGACATTAATCCTATGTTCAGACCGACAGAAAACGATGATTTTTTTCTTCAAGAATTCGGAATCATGTCTCATTTTATTAGAAAGAAATGTAAGAAAAACAAAAGAAACTTTAAATTTTCTTCTTTTATATTTTCTTTGGATTCATTCGGACAAAGGTGTAACCTATGGACAGTCACACAAAATCACAACCCCATGCATGCGTATATTGGCGGCATAATGCGAATAAACGATAGAAGATTCTTCAAAATCATGTAAAGTGATTCCGCTGTTGTCACTTTAGTTTCGATAGCGAAAGCTTTTAGAACCTTTATGACACTGTTGGATTGGAGGTGTATACATGAGACATTTGACTAACTGTGGTTTGTTGGGTTGACTTGTCCAAATATTATAACACCATGTAATAAACAATCTAACAACTAGAAGTCCAAGTATCATTTTGGAATAAATCCAATTAAATTTTGATGCTAATTAATGTAATGCTCCTCAATAAGCAAAATAACTTCAAAAGAATTTTAGTTATATTACTCAAACAATAAAATATTAACTCAAGACATCTTTTCTATTATAAAATATTATTATTATTTAAATTAATTAATATGAGTGGTAAGAATTATGAAATTTTAATAAATTTTTTATTATAATAGTGAGTTAACAAGAAAAAATTTGCATAAATTATGGTATAATAGAAAGATAACATAGAATAGGTATAACTTTAATAATATTGAGAACTTTAATTGTATCTTTACATTATAAAAAACTTTTAGTCTTCACGAATTTTATTTTAAAAAATAATTAATTTCTTTTAAAAAAAAATTTTTAAATTTTTTTTAAAGTATTCATATTAAATATAAGATTTTAATATTTTTAACTTAAATATCTCTCAAAAATTTAAAATAAATCTTTACCTGTAGATCCTTTCATGTTGATAAATAAATGATATAGAAAACATATGATATTATTAAAAATTATATAAATTAATAATATTTTCTTCTTTTTTTTTACATAAATTTATGATAATATTAAAAAAATATAAAAAAAATTGTATAAGGTTCCTAAAACATTCTTTTTATGCAAATTTATTTATTTATTTTCATTATAATATTTGTAAATCATTGAAATTAGATAACTTGAAAACACATAATTAACCATAGAAACTAAAAAGATTTATACAGATAGCACATGAACACAAAAAGTTTATTTGGAATAAAACTTGTTGATATTATTTTCAGGTAAATGTTATGGTGAGTTAGTCAAGTAAATGAATCATAAATAAGTTAGCAAAATGACTTACTATAACATGTTTTAGAAATTTGAATATTTAAAATTTAATCATTACTAAATTTTACAGATAAAGAATCTCAATCTTTTAAATATTTAAAATTAATTTTTTTAACATAATTTTTTTAAGATTAAGAAAGAACATAATTACTTATTCACGTGAAACCATATCATATTTTCTTAAACTCATTCTCATCTTTATTTTTAAAGATATCAAGATTTTATTGTGTTTCTAATATAAAGTTCAACAATAAATTGACTGATTATGGTTAAACTTTATTTGATAAAACTTTGAAAAGAGAATTCAAGGTAAGAGATTTAATAAAGTTACGTAATCCTCTTTTAGAATATTGTCGTATAAGTTTTGTTCAATTTCTCTTTTTTCTATTTTAATTCCTTTTTATTTTTTTCCAAACTCGTTTCTCACATTTATCCTAAACCCTAAAACTACAAAACCATTTTTTCCTTTAGATTGTTATACTTTCAAATGTAAGAGTTTCTTATTTGAAAACATCATATATTCATCCCAACTATCTTAAAAATCATCATTTTGGTTTGATCAGAAAAGGATAATGACTAAAAATATTTTGTTGAAGGAGAAAAGGAGCAGAAAATTCAATTTGTTGTAATTTAAGCTTAAGTTAGAGTTATTTGCTTAAGTTAAATTTAGACAGAAATGAATTTAAATTTTTTGTCAAGTTCACTTAAGCTAACACACATTCGCTTAAGCAAATAAAAAACAGAGATGAATTTAAATTTTTTTATCAAAATTAGCTTAAGCCACAACTCATTTGTTTAAGCAAATCAAAGATATATATTAATCTAACATACATTCACTTAAGCTAATATTCATTGCTTAAGCCATTATTGTTCTGTATTTCATGACTTAAACAAATTATGTTATGCTAAAGTAACTTACTTCTAGTAAATTATTTTTTGATAATTTTTGCTTAAGAGAAAAAGCTCGACTTAAGTGAATGTTGCAAAAATTGTATGATGCAAAAACGACTACTACACATAGAGAATATGTGAAAGATCTAAAAGAGTATTAAATAATATATCAACACAAAACCTCATTTTCATGATGAATTAAAACGGTAAAGGTGAATATAAAAGTTTTAATTTTAAACATCATTAACTTCACAAATAGAGTTTATGAAAAACTTTAAAAATTTAATATAACATTTAACATTCTAAATTTTTTTTAATTATGTATTTAAACTGCATTTGAACATGCATCTGAATACATATTTTCTTAAAATAAGATTAAAAGATCTAAAATATATAAAGGTAAAAAGAAAAAAATATAACATATAAAATTTTAAAATATAAAATAAAAAATTTTAAAAATTAATTTTTTGAAAAAATTTATATAAAAAATAATAAATATATATAAACTTATATTATTAAATTATAAATTAAAAATTTAAACTATTTATAAATTTTAAAATACATCCAATGTCTTGAAAAATAGTCACTCATCGGTAAGTAACTTACCAGTACCTCATACTAGCGTACACCTTATTTTGGCTACGAATTTATTACTAATATTTTTGGGGAAGAGTTTATAATTTTAGAAAGCGGAAGTCTAATTTTAAGATGGAGTTTGCAGCCCCCCCCATCACCACCACCTTTGGTCATTGGCGGTGGAAAAGAAACTAGAAACCCCTTTCGATTCCTTCACTATATATAAACCCATTTCCCTCGAACCAACCTCCCTCTCTCTCTCTCTCTCTCTCTCTCTCTCTTACACACACATCAAACAACCTCTCTTCGCCGGCGGGGATATCTCCGGCCGCCACCCTGCGGTTCGCTTCCGAGTATTCCTTTCATTGCTTCTGGTCCTGTGCGTGTTGGATGCGTCATCACTTTTTCCGTCGAGGTTCGTGTTTTCGTAAATTTTCCATTTCTTTATTTGTTCGTTGCATGCTGTTTCGCGAGAGTTGCTCTGTTTTCGTGGCGTTTGAAATCTGTGGCTGGTTTGGTTTGGAAGAAAATTGTTATTAGAAAATGGTTTTGATGCACTGCAAGGTCGCAATGTAGTGGTGATTACTTTTTTCTTATTTTTGGGTTGCAGTTTAATCAATGAGGTCGTAACCAAAATGCCTAGTTTATGGAATTAAGGAATGGTGCAATGTTAGAAACTACAAGATGGGTACAGTAGGGAGTTTTTGGGATGCTAACAAATAGGTTAGAGAGAGATGATTTTGATTTGCGCTTCGAAATTTGTCTAGTTTCACATTGTTTAAGCTTGAAGTCTGGTTTTATAGCGATTCTGGTTGGTGATTTTATGTCCTTTATTTATCTATACAATTTTCAGATTGAAAATTATGATTTCTCTTTTCACGTAGAGAATCCGACGTTTCTGTTGGTTATTTCCGCAATTAATAAGAAACAATTTTTTTTAAGAATGACGTGCCATGGCAGTGGCTGTTATTTAGGCTTTCTTCTTTTTGACATCTTTTCTATACAGAAAATAAATGAGACACTGGCTTATTGTTTACCAATTTCAATGCTAAATAATCTTGGGGTTAATTTTCTGATTTACATCAGTCTCAGATAGCATTCAACTTCCATGATGATGCTTTCAAATAAAATACTTATCTGACTATATATGATTGGTCTTTCCATTCCTTTTCTCTATCGTCTGTATCAATTTGCTGTTGGAAGGAGGGAGAAGGAACAGTATACAGCACTGGATTGTGTTATTTTGTTGTTCTGAGAATTCTTGGATATCATTTTGATGAGTTAAATGATTTTGTATTCATCTTCTTTTCAGGTCTTGTAATCACAAGTAAAGGAAACTTGATATTTTCAGTTAAGGCTTGCTGTACTCAAAAGTTTTGGAATCTTTCACAATGGGTGCAACTGAAAATCTTGTGGACAATGCAACAGGTGCAGCAGAAAGTCCGGAAAACCACACCACTGGTCCTTTAGAAAATCCTATATATGACAATGCTGGTTCTTCAGAATCAGAAAATCCTGTACAGGACCAAGCACTGGGTGCAGAAAATGTTGTAAGTGATCAAGTAGGTGGTGTGCAAAATCCTACTAGAAAACAAGAGGGTAGTGCAGAAAATCTGGTAAACAACCAAGCAGATAGCGGAGAAGATCCTGCAAATTGTCAAGCAGCAGGTGTTGCAGATAATTCTGTAAACAACAAAGCAGGTGCTGCAGAAATTTCTGTAAATGATGAAGTAGGTGCATCAGAAAATGCGGTGAATGACAAAGCTGGTGGAGTAGAGAATTCGTTAAGCAAACAAATAGATGCTACAGAAAGTCTTGTAACTGACAAACAAGGTCCTGCAGAAAGCCTAGTAGAAGATGAAGCACATGCTGTTGAAATGTCTGTAAACAGCAAAGCAAATGCTGTTGAAACGCCTGTAAGCAGCAAAGCAAATCGACTTCCAGAAGAAGCAAAGGAGATACTGAAATCATTGGCAAGTAAATGGGAGGATGTACTTGACCCAAATGCATTGCAAGTGATCCCTGTCAAAGGGGCAATGACGAATGAGGTATTCCAGATAAAGTGGCCAACTACGACTGGGGAAACCTCACGAAAGGTTCTAGTGAGAATCTACGGTGAGGGTGTGGACATTTTCTTTGATAGGGGTCATGAGATACAAACATTTGAATTCATGTCAAAGAATGGGCAAGGTCCTCGTCTACTAGGACGATTTGCAATTGGCCGTGTTGAAGAGTTTATCCATGCACGGGTAATATGATCTTTACTTGTTATTTTTCCTCTTAATATTGACATTCCTTAAACTACCTTTGAGCAAATTGGTATTATGTGTTAAGGAATGTAAACTATAGAATGAAGCATTTTTAAAAATTACATTCAGTTTTCATCATTTATCCTGCTATATAAAATGATTTCAGCAGTGATCTTTATTTATTTGTTTTTTTATTGACCCTACACAAGTTATGAACTTGATGTGCTAATACATTTCATTGTGAATCTATCAGACATTATCAGCATCTGATCTTCGAGATCCATCTATTTCTTCTCTTATAGCGGCCAAAATGAAGGAGTTCCATGATCTGGATATGCCTGGTGAAAAGAAAGTCCACCTTTGGGATACATTGCGGTAGGTGCTATTTAAACACCTTTCCCAGCATCTTCATTAAAAATGTATACGGAAGAGGAATTTATGTGACTATAAGAAACCAGCTCCTACTTGTATAAATTTTATCCATATAATATATTTTAAGTACACTTTCATCATTTATCAAATGCTTTTATTACAATGATTCAGAAATTGGCTGAGTGAGGCCAAACGTTTATCGTCCCCTCAAGAAGTTGAAGCGTTTTATTTGGACACAATTGACAAAGAAATCTCTCTTTTGGAAAAGGAACTATTGGGCACACACCAATGGATAGGATTTTGTCACAATGATTTACAATATGGTAACATAATGCTTGATGAAGAGACCAATTCCTTGACCATCATAGTGAGTTTCTCTTTGTGCTAGTTTGTAAAATCATGGTTTTGTTGCTAACACCATTGTGGGTAATGTACCATGGGTCCTGCTCCGAGAAAATAATTAGTTTTACTTCTATCATGATAGAATTGCTGGCTATATATATATTTTTTATATATATTTGTAAAATGATTTTTCCCTTACTAGTAGCAAATTCTATTACGCTATTAAATGTGTCGTGGACCATGTTTATCCCCTGAATAGAAATGTACCAAAAGTTATGGAAAAATTGTATTTGTAAAAAGAAAAAAAAAAACAAAGACCAGTTATACAAGTCTCTGATGTTCAAGAGGTATGCATCCTATGACCTAAAAGAGATTAAGTATGACTTAAAAGAATCGTTATAAAAGAATACCATATTCATATTTCTGACAGGATAGGATTTTAAATGTGTATGTAAGAGTTTTCAGTGATCTTACTTGTAGCTTGATAAATGCTGCTAATTTCTTATAGTGCTTAAGCTCTTCTATATTTTAAGTTTAAATCAAAATTTTAAAGCAACGAAATCTTGGGAGATAAGGGAATGTATTTTATTGATGATCATATATGTCTCCTACATGATATCTTTTCTTTGTTTTTATTTATTTATTTTCTGCATGGTGTACTAGTGTACTCTTAATCAACTGGATGATCTTTCTATACTTAGATATATTTTTTCCAAGGGATCATCAATGTGTCATAGCCACCAAGTATGATTGAATGCTACCTTTTGTACAGGACTATGAATATGCTAATTATAATCCTGTAGCATATGACATAGCAAATCACTTCTGTGAGATGGCTGCTAACTATCATACAGAAGAGCCTCATATCCTTGACTACAGTAAATATCCTGGTATGTGACCATGTAGCTTTTTGAATGTCTTCCATTCATTTTAGTATGCCCTGCGAAGAATGACTTTTATTTGGCTGATTTTCTTGGCAGATTTTGAGGAGCGTCAAAGATTTGTAAAGGCATATATGAGTACCTCCGGTAATGGATTTCTTTAAATCTATAATGTTAAAAGATTGTATTGCATGTTTGTCTTGTACTCTTTTATTATTTATATTGATTAATTTTCTACTGTAACCCATAAGAAATTTGGTGTTTGCTTTCAATTTATTGACATTGATGATCTGTATTGTAATTGGAACAGCCAAGTTGTATGGTCTAAATTAAATAAAAAGTACAGATAAATCATCAATATACCCTTGTATTTGATCTCTTAAATAGTCATGTATCACCTTAAGAACCGTGTTTATCATGTGTTTTTGAAACTGTGGGTCTTGAGCGCAGGTGAGCAACCTAGTGACAATGAAGTGGAGCAGCTACTTCAAGAAATTGAGAAGTACAACCTTGCAAATCATCTATTCTGGGGAATTTGGGGAATAATTTCGGTATCTTCACTTTCTTACTTTAGATTTAGTTGTTTTATATTTATGCTACCTGGCATTCTAGAATGTGTGAAGCTGAGTCCTTTGAGAGGGTGAAGTTATTCCATTCACCTGGTTTTTGTGCACCATATACATATTGTAACATTGGCTACTAGGAAAAAGTAACGCTGAATTCTCTCAATGGTTTTCTTATAAAAACCTAAGGCATAGAAAATAGATGTGTATTAATTATTTTTCCCACTATAACGAAAGTAATGCTGAAAATTCCATGAAGGCATGAATAATAGACGGGTGTAAAATGGATGGATTGTATAAATTTTGAATTGAATTATAATGGTTGGGTAAAAAATTAACTATTCATTCATCTATGATTTATTAAAAAAATATTAAAAAAAATTCAATCCATCCATAACTCATTTAATAATAAACCATCCAAATTATCCAATAACCATTTTTTATGGATGAATATCAAGCCCATCCATTTAAAGTATATTATATTTTTTTAAAATGACATTTTTACAAAATAAAGTTCAATATTAAAACACATTCTAGCATCTAAACACTATGAGTCCAAGACCAATCCCTTCTTAACAGGCTGTCTGGGAAGGGTTTTTGGAGGGGAAGGGAGGATATTTTTGTTTTAAAATCCATAAAATTATAAGTTATTTATGATAGTAAATAAATAATTAATACATTATGAGTATTTTATATCTTCAATTCTGAACAATTATTGAATAAAAATACTGATTTTGCTCTTCCCTCCGCTTCTTTCCAAAATTCCCTTCCAAAACAACCCTAAAAAAGACTTATGCCTAACCAATAAACTTTGAACTACTTGATTCAATATGTTGCATTATATGTTGGATGATTCATAATCCATCGAATAAAAAATGATGATTGAATTCAATCTATTCATTAATTTTTATTTTTATAATTGGTTGTGTTTGTTGGATTTATACATGAGTGAATTTGATGGTTAGTGGATAAATAAATTAAATTGCCACTCGTAGTAATAGATGTGTATTGTTTTTTGTTGGTAGTGTTATTATTATTATTATTATTATCATTATTTCAACCGGTGAAATAAATGGCAATTGAATTTTCCATTTGTGGATGGTTTCATAGGGATTTAGTTCATCCTGAATATCACCACTCAAAATATTAGTAATTTCCTTACAAACAAAACTAGAAATCTGGTGTTTCTATTGGGCTGTTTTCACCCATGTTATTCTGTGTTTTGATCTAAATGTAGTTTTTAAACTTGTTGTTTCAATAAACCATCACATGTTCAATTTATCTCCTTATTTTGGGACATTATGAGCATTGTACCTTCCCTTGTTTTCTGATTGTTGGTATGCATGTATAGCCGTTTCAGCAGTAAGTATTATTCCCTTTGCATTTTGAGGTTTTTGAAAACAAAATTGACCTTTTTATGGGAATAACATTTGAGGATGAGAGGATAAAAGTTACTACAGTTATGGATTAATGATAAGATTGGAGTTTGATTGTTGAAACAAATAATTTCACTATCATGCTATGGCCCTTCCGGTTTTACGGCATATTTCTCTTGAAATTTTTAATTTTAGGTGTCTCAAAACCACAAAGTGCTTTTGGATTTTGGTTTAAACAAAGCTATTATTTTCTTTTGTGAAAAGGTTACAAATTTGAGGTTTTTAGCAAAGAAGTCAAGAGAAGCTTATAAATTTTTAGCTTCGCTGAAGAGTGTTTTTTCTCTTGAGAAGCACTTTTTGGGTGTAGAAAGGATAATCCAAAAGGTAGTGACAAGAAATAATTGGACTCTACAGATCAGATGTACTGTACATTTACAGCATTTCGGTTTATACGGCTTCTTCTATCTGAGCTGCACATATTAAAGATAGAAAAAATAAGTTGTTTAACTTATGAAACAAGTTTTATTCATTTTTTATATTAATTTTTTTCTGCTATAAAGATTTTTGTAAGTAACTGGTTGTATACAGTAACTAGAAGCAACAGGGTTAGGAATTTATTCTACATTGCTTCATCTTCTGATTATTTTGTACAGGCACAAGTAAACACAATTGACTTTGACTACAAGGAGTATGCCAAGCAGAGGTTTCAAGAGTACTGGGCAAGGAAGCCTTATCTTTTAATAAGTTCTGATGCACATTCTCCTTATAATGCGCCTGAGGGTACAGGTATTTGATTTAACTTGTTTCATATTACTTTGACTAGAATCAATAGATTGTTACAAAACCAGATAAGATTCTCTGATGTTTGTCATTTTGGTTGTGTGATTCTTAAATGTAGATGAGGCTGGAGATTCTGACTTAGAAACTTCATCGTTGTTTATGAGTAGGAGGGTATCAAAAAGCCAATTTTATTTTAGCATTACAAGCCATAACAAAAACAAACAATGTAATTAGCAGTAAACACATAAAATTAGGTTAGTATTCTCTTAAATGTTATTTATTTGTGTCCATGTGTTAATTATGTTAGGACTGCAGGTGAGGATATGGGCTCAAATGGGGCCAAGCCCACACTATGGAGAGTTTACACTAGAAGAAAGAAGAAGTTATAGGCAAGGAGAGTGACATGGCAGATAGAAGTAAGTGGTTAGCCAAAGTAAGGAGAGAGTCTGTTATAGTGGGACTAGTCTGAGAGGGGGGTATCTTTTCATAATCAAGAAGTTAGTTATGGATAGAGTACTAGCTCTATGTAGGAGCCTAGCTCTTTGGCAATAGTTCTCATTCCACTGATTTTTCCTATATATCAAGTAATAACATCATTTCCGCTGTTTCCGTTGTTTGAGTTTAATTTCCTTGTTGATGTACTGGTTTGTATCAAATTGGTATGACCTGCCGGATATTCGCTGCCGGATATTCGAGAAGAACGATTTGAGAATCACTTTGAGGGATCAGCATTTAAGGCACGGCAACGGAAGTGAATGCCACCAAAAAAGAAGACAGAGAATAGAGGAATGGAAGCAAAGATCACTGCTCTTGAAAATGAAATGGCGAACGTCAAAGCTACCATGGTGGCAATGAAAGCCCAAGCTGAGGAGAATCAAGCTCAACTTATCACATTATTAACAAAGAAGTTGGAAAACATGGTTTTGGTGGATAAGGAGTATGAAAGCCAGGGAGAATGAGTCGATGACAATGGCAAGGAAGTAGAAGACGATAAGGGGATGAAACTTCAGAGGGAAATCAAAGTTCTGGAATGAGGGAGTTACAGGGAGATTCCTTGGATGAGTTCTGCCAATCTATGAAAAAAATTGAACTTCCCATGTTCGATGGAGAGGACCCTACAACGTGGATTACTCGTGTTAAAATTTATTTCCAAGTGCAAGAGACCCATCTAGATGTGAGCATCAATCTGGCCCAACTTTGCATGGAAGGTTCCACCATCCATTTTTTTAATTCTCTATTGGATGATGATAGAGATTTGACGTGGGAGCAATTCAAAATTGAGTTGATGTAGCAGTATGGAGGTATAGGAGATGGCAATATTTACGAAAAATTAGCGGCACTGGAGCAGAGGGGAAGTGTTGGTGAGTATATATCAGAGTTTGAGCATCTTAACAATACAAGTGAAGAAGTTGCCTAGTAACTAGCATTGTGGATACTTATTGCACGGGTTGCTAGAGGAAATTCACAATTGTATTTGTAGTCTCAAGGCATTGGGTCCCATCCTGCATTCTTCGTTGATGAATTTAGCTCAATCGGTTGAAAAAGTGGTTTGGAGAGAAGAAACAAGCATGAATCTGGGCTGACAGAGCGAGGGTTGGAGGTGTTTTGGGCCAAATACAGGTTCAAGGTTTTTTTCAAGCTCAATAAGAAAGAGCGGTGAGGAGAAGGATTGGGTCTGTCAAAAGTAGTAAGGAGACTACAATTAAGGGGAGTAGTAATAAAGGAGGGTCCTATGGGCTAAAGACTCAACACAAAACAGGACAAGGAGGATGTAAAATTGGAGCTGAATGGAGCTAATTTCATAATAGATACGTTTCTGTTTGAATTGGAGGGTATTGATATTATATTGGGTATGGCATGGTTGACTTCATTGGGAACAATGTTGATTGATTGGAAGAAGCAAATCTGAATTTAGAGTGGAAAGGAAAGGCAGTTGAGCTACAGGGAGAAGGTTTCCATCCGCAAGACACCATGGCTTTTCAGAGTGTGTGTGTGAAACCTAAAAGAATGTTGAAATTGTAGAGTTACATGTACTGCAGGTGCAAGGTCCAAGCATGGAGCATGTTTTGAGTTCAAATCAGCAGCAGGAGTTGGATAGATTATTAAAAACCAATTTGATGTGGTGTTTGATGAACCTAGGAGGAGAAAAGAGCACTCAATTACTTTGTGGGAGGGTCAAGGACCTGTGAATGTTTGTTCTTATAGGTATTCGCACCATCATAAAAACAAAATTGAGAAACAGGTGCACAAGCTGATGCAGTTGGGTTTCATATGCCATAGTCATAGTGCATACTCTAGTTCAGTGATACTTGTTAAGAAAAAGGATAATACTTGGACTTGGAGGAAGTGTGTTGACTATAGGGCTCCCAACAAAGTCATTTTACCTGATAATCAGGTTATCACCAAGTCAGGGTTAAGGACAGTGACATACACAACAACTTTTAGAACACATAAGGGGTACTACGAATACATTTCAATCATTGATGAATGAGGTATTCAAACCTATTCTTGGAAAGTTTGTGCTAGTATTCTTTGATGACATTTTGGTGTATAGTTTAGATTGTTTTACTTGTCTGAAGTGTTGAAAATTTTGAGGAAACACCAATTGTTTCTGAATCGAAAGAAGTGCCACTTTGCTCCTAATAAATTCCAGCATGTTTTTACAATGGCCTGCTCCCAAGAATGTGAAAGGGAAGGGGGGGGGGGTGTGAGATGTTTTTTGGGGTAGAGTGGGTATTACTGAGACTATGGTAAAATAGTAAAACGTTGACTAAATTGACAAAGAAAGAGGGGTTTAAATGGAATTTCCAAGCACTAGAAGCTTTTGATCTGTTCAAGAAGAAGATCACATCTGCACCAGTTTTAACCTTGCCAGACTTCAATGAGGAGTTTATCATTGAAAGTGATGCATCAGGGCAGGATTTGGGCGCCATTTTAACACAAAAGGGAGACCTGTGGCTCAGCAAAGACCTCAAAGATAGAAACTTAGCTAAGTCTGCCTATGAAAAAGAGCTAATGGCTATAGCTTTAGCTATTCAACACTAGAGGCGTTATTTGCTAGGCAGAATGTTCACTGTATGTACTGACCAAAAGAGCTTGAAACAAGGGTGCTGATGCATTATCCTGCATGCATGATGAGGGAGAGCTAACTACTTTGATTCACTACCCAAGTGGACACTATGAAGTATGGTGATTGATGAGATTCAGAAAATGAAAAGTTGAAGGGGATTATTGACGAATTCCTACAAGGAAGGAAAGAAAAAAAAGGATTTTCTTATAACAATGGTGTGTGGCTCTACAAAGGGAGATTGGTGATTTCTGAAAATTCTCCCTGGATTCCAGACCTATTAAGAGAGTTTCATTCCGCTTCTCAAGGAGGTCACTCTAGGTTTTTCAGGACATATAGGCGTGTAGCAGCCAAGTATTGGTTTGGGATGAAGGAATGCTACAGTTTGTGTGAGAGAGTGTCATTTGCCAAAGACAGTAAGGGCTAAAATCAGTCCTAAACTGGCCCCTAGATATTATGGTCTACTTCCAGTAGTGGCTTACAAACTACACTTATCAGAATCTGCTAGAATTCATCCAGTCTTCCATATGGAGAGTGGTACAGAAAATTTGTAGGTGCCCACAACGGTCCTTGCAACCAGATCAGTGTACAAAGATGGGGATCTGTTAATCAAATGTTGATTATGTGGAAGGGAAAGCATGTTGATGAAGCTACATAATAGAGAACTACATGGGAGGAAGAGTTTAAAATTAAAAGTCAATTTCCCAAGTTTAACTTGGGGACAAGTTTGTATTTCTAGCAGGAGGCAGTGTTAGGACTGCGAGTGAGCATATGGGCTCAAATGGGACCAAGCCCATGCTATCGAGATTTTATACTAGAAGAAAGAAGTATATAGGCAAGGAGAGTGACTTGGCAGAGAGAGAAGTAAGTGGTTAGCCAAAGTAAGAAGGGAGTCCGTTATAATGGGACTGGTGTTAAGAAGGTGCATCTTTTCATAATAAAGCCTATCTTTGTGGCAGTAGTACTCATTCTACCAATTTTTCTTTTATATCAAGTAATACCAGCATTATTTCCTTTGTTTCCCTTGTTTGAGTTGTTTAATTTACTTGTTGATTTTACTGGTTTGTATCAAATTATCATCATCAACAACAATAATTAAGTTTTATTCCACTAGACGATTATAGTTATATGGATTACATAATGTCATTTAGCCTGTCTTGTCCATATGTTAATTATCAATATTTATAAAATTCTTTTTTGTTTTCTATCAAAATTTCCCGTCAAATAAAATAGCATTGAATGTGATTCTCTGGTGCTGAATTTGGCTATACTTTTATTTATGGTTTTTTGCCAAATTTTGAAAAAGATTGAATAACAATTGGGATAGGTTTCAACTTGTGTGTGAAAGAGTGTTGCTAGCATTATTATTTGACAAGATGGGATTCAACTTTACTACGTTCTATAGTAGAATACCTTTTCTTTATAGAATATTGGGATTTTCATATAAAGACTGTTGAGCAACTTTTGTTATTCTGGCCCCGCTCCAGCTTCCCTGTGATTTGTTTGTACCCCCTGTTAATTAGGAAGATAAATAATTTCAAGTTTTATTTGTTAGTCTTTTTTATCTCTTACTCAGGCTTACTGCTTATCTAGAATCAAGGAATGTAGTATTTATTATTTTCTTACACTTGTACTTCTATTAAATTGTAGGTATTTTGGTTATAAGATATTATTTAGTGCTATTAGAGTAATGGATTATTCTTATCCAAGGGCATTAAATAAATTTATAGATAAATTTTGTTTGTATTTTTGCTTTATTCCTTTGTATTCGAACCTTTATACTTAAAAAGTTTATTTGAAAAGCAACTGTATTTGCAGGACCTCAAATCAATCAATTTTACCAAGAATGCAGATAGATGTTGAATCTTTCTGTATTTCGCCCTTTTTCTGTTAGTAATTTTAGTTCCTTTAAGCAAGATTCATCACCATGGATTCTCTTACTTTTTCACTAAACTAAGCATAAGCATTAAAAAGACCACTTGTGTATCTTTGAACTTAAATAGCCAGGATTATTATTTGTAGCGAATCTGACTATTTATTGACAGGAGAGCTAGCGTCGGCATTGCCCACCAAATCGAAGAACTCTGGTATCCTCAGGAAGATGAAGAGAGTTTTGGGTCTAGGCATGTTCAGGTCCAAGAACTAGAACAATATCTCAGGCAGCTTTTTTTTTTTTACTTCCTCTTTTGGAGTGAAATGTCAAATCAGTAAAGTCAAGAAAAGACACAAATAATGTACTAAACAGACATTACTTTTTGGTATTATATTTGATTCATTTTTTAATTTCTCGCTCTTCTGGTTGTTCCTTTTTTTAATCTCAAATATTAAACTTACTCAAATCAAAAATTTCGGATGCACATTGTAAATGAAAATTATCGTAAGATCCGAAAAATTTATATTTTAATTTAGTCTTTATATAACTGTTTTCTTATATTTTAATTTCTTCCATTCAAGGCTGTAAATGAAATGAATTAGTGACAAATTATTCAAATTTAGTTCGTTAAATTATTGAATAAGCTCATTTATTCAATTAAATAAAAAAATTTGAACTTAAAATTAAACTCAATTATCTATGAGTCAAGTTTAAACTTTGTAAGTTTAACATTAATAGCTTGCTATTGGCTTGTTTATATACACAGATAATTATAATTTTATTTATATATTTACTTAAAATTTATATTATTATATTTATTGTTATATTGTGTATAATTTATGTAATTTTAATTTTCAAGAGTAGCATTATAAATAAATGATCTTAATTTCTTTTATAAAAATATACTATTTTTATAATAAAACTTATTTTTAACCTAAGTCATATTTGTACAGTTAAAATTATATTATATCACCATTTTATTCTACTTTTAAAGAGAAAATATTCATATAAATCTTGCGCATTTAAGTAGGTGAGTCAAGCTTAGCGTTGTTTTTATATTTTCACGAATCAAATTTAACTTTTAATACTCGACTTTTCTTAATTTATTTACACTCTTATTTTCATAGTTAAAGATTAAAATATAACAAAATATTTATGTGAAGACCAAAATATAAATTTTTTAAGTATATAAACTAATTTATAAATAAAGTGTCAACTACAAAGATTAAATGTATATTTTAATAAAAAAAAAAGTTACAATAGTTTAAAATTAATAAATTTAAATGTTAAGGGCTAAATTTTCTAAGTATGAATAAAAATAATAGAATAAGAAGTCCTTCATTAAGATTTTTTTTCTTTTTAAATTTTTTGGGGAACTGAATTTTTTTAAATAATATTGGTTTGGTAGAAATAAAATACATATAATGTGTAACACCCTTATTTTATTTTATTTATTTTTATTCTTTATTATTGCACTTTGTTTTCAAAATGAAAGTTTTTATTTTTGAAAGTGCAGTATTTCGAAGAGATTGAGTCACCAACAATCATCATAGCAGAGCACATACAACAAATCAATCATCTTTACAAATATTTGTAGCATACATTTTCACACTAATTTATGTCATATTACATATATCATATCACATCAATTGTCAGGCCTGTGATTTATTATTGAGTAATCTATAATATTTTATATTTGTTAAATGTTAATTAAAGGATTAATTGGTATTGGAATAGATTTAGATGGAGTTTAAAAAAAAAAATTGAACAGTACCGTATGAACAGTGTCAATGAACAGTAAAACCGCGTATGAACAGTAAAAACCGCGTATGTACAGTGACTGCTGACGTCATGGCTGACGTCACATACGCGTACAGTGCGTGTACAGTACACGTGCACAGTATTTTTCGGCGTGAATAGTTCCCTGAACAGTGTTTCTGGTGTGAATAGTAAGGTGGTGAACAGTGTTTCCGGCGGTGAACAGTAAATTTCAAAAAATTTCTATAAAAAGGGGGCTTCACACAAAATTTTCATTTCTTCATTCCTCTTCAAGGTTCTCAAAGGTTCTAAGGCCGTATACTACCATTTTCTCTCATACTAAACCCTCATAAACTTAAATTTCTCGTCAGATATAAGATTATACGTCTATTCTGAAGGATTTGAAGTAATTTTCTTTAAGTTTGAAGCTAGATTTACCGTTCGTTTCTCTTCTCCTCCTCTTTCTCATAGAAGTTCATGGTGTTTTTAGGAGAAACTTTGTTCTAAAGCCGAATCTTGCATTAAAACAAGTAATATTCGGTAGATCTAGTGTAAATCATCTTTCTGAGGTAAGGGGAGTTTACTTTAACCTATGAACTACGTTTTGAACGGTTTAATATGCTATTTCAAGATGTTTTGATATGATTTTGTTAGATCTTTTGAATAAAAGTTATTTTCTAAGTTGTAACTGCTGTTAATTGATTTAAAATGCTGAGATTTTGGCTGATCTATTATAAACTTGCCTTAGCTGAACTGTTAAAATAATTTTGGCGGTGTGCATCATGCTGAGATATATGTTTTGCATCATTATAGAGCCGAGTTACATGTTTAGGTGGGTAGACGTGTAATGGTAAGTTCATGCTGAGCTGCTGTGCTGTGCTGTCTGGATCCAGATACCGGAATGGGTCACTCCGGACCGGCTCAGTTCCTTCTGGATTACTTAGGCTATGAAACCAGTTGGAAACCGTTTTCATGTTGTGCATTAGATGGGCTGGAAATGCATGGAGCTATTGCTGTGAGAAATATTTTGCTCTATATACATGATTTTATTTTATTTTTGTAAGCTCACCCTTGCATTTCTTTCTATGTCGTTGTGTGTGTGTACTGCGATGATCGTACGGTGGTACGTGAGCAGATGTAGCAGGTGTTGCATCTACTTCACAGGCTGAGGGGCCAGTGAAGAAATGTTAGAAGCTGGGGTCAAGTAATATTGCATCAAAGTCCTTTTTCCCTTATATTTTGAGACCTCATGTAGAGGGAGCTACGTAGTATAATTTTGGGTATTTTGAATATTATGAACTAAATGTAATATTGTGTTATTTTATTGGATATTTGTTGTAAGAAAACTTTGTTTTATTTTGAATGAGAAGAGAATTTCATACTTATATTCTCTATTATTTATTTATCTTAAATAAGTTTGTGATGTAGAAACAATGTTCTCGGTTCCTTATAAAAGGGCTCGTGACATCAATCAATATGTTACAATACATGTGTCCTAATCAAACACGTCGATGTATTACAACACATATATCATAACATCAATCGATATGTTACAACATATATATTATGATCATACAATTTCTATACTATTTCATATCTATCATCACTTTACAATCATTGGCCCTATGATCCCTTGAGGACTTCATAGTATAGATAGTTGTTGGTTAGCCACTGCATATAGATACAATGTGTGCCAACCCTGTAATATTCTTGTTTTTATATTTATTATTTTAGTATTAAATGTTGGTTGTATGTGTGAAGTTATTTGAATTTTAGAGAATTCAAATGATGTAAGTTGCAGGATATCTCGCTGTGGTGAGAAAGAGCGTCCAGAATCAAGCTCTCTAACACTCCGCTGTAGCAAGAAACTCTCGCTATAGTGAGAATCATAAACAGCAAAGGAAAATTTTGCCTGATTTTTTTCACCACAGCGAGAGAAGGACTCGCTGTAGCAAGAATATTGCGTGTTTACTATCATTTGTAAGAGTAATTACTTTTGCCGCTTATATATATATATATATATATCACTATATATATATATATATATATATATATATATATATCACTCTCTCATTCACTTTACCCCTAACTCTCTGAACACTCTCATTCTTGCTCTCAAATCTCTCTTCACACTTTTCCTGATTTACAACATGTTTTGAATTATTTTCAAAATAGATAGCATGATTGGACGCAACAACTCTGGTGGTATGAGTAGACAATAAAATTTAGAACTCTAGAGCTGACACAATATCTTATAAAGAAACCGTTAATTGTCTTTGAATTAAGCTTCTTTATTTCTCCATTATAGAGCCTAGCTTTAGATTTACTACCCCAAACATGAAAATGCTTCAGAGTAGGCCTTCTCCTTATCATAAGTTCATATGGAGTCTTTGAAATAGACTTACTAGGCATATGATTTAAAATGTAGGTAGTTATCTTCAATATGGAGTCTTTGCACGACTCTATAGATTTCTTTTAAGACGTGGCTCGTATAAGCGAGACTGAGTGTTTTGGACTAGGCATTCCAGAGCATTCTTCCTCAACCGAGCTGAGTCTCACTCAAGTGATATCGGATAATGTCGTCACAATTGTCATCTTGCCCAAGTGAGGAAGCACAAGGTAGATGGAGAGCTCTTTGGACCTATTCTCACTCAGGTGAGAATGCCACTCGCTCAAGCAAGAATATCAGTGAAAAACCATTTTCTGATGTTTTTGCCCAGGCAAGAGAGGACCTTGCTCAAGCCAGAGTCTACTCGCTCAAGCAAGAATTTGCGAGTTTTCAAGGGTATTTAAGAGATTTCCATCCTAAAAACTTGTATTACAATCCAAGTCATCTTTTCCTCATTTTCTCTCTGATCTCTCATCTTCCTTCCTTAAAGAAACCACCCTTAAATTCTGAGCCTTCTTTAAATAAGGACTTAGACTTTCGTTCTGATCGAATCCAAATAAGTTTTTTCATAGCACATTTCTTCTATCTCTATTCTATTCTATCTGTTTTCTATTTTCTCAAAAGTGCTCTCTCTCTTGTGATATCTAGGAAGAAATTAGTCCCTTGGACAATATCCTTCACAAATTTTCTTCCAAATCTTCATTTTGAGGTAATGAGAGCTTTATCTCATCATTAGAATATAGTGAATATTTTGGGCTCCTGAGAGTATTGTTATGTAGTTCTTGCTTGTAAATATATGTTTGAATGATATTTAAGTGTTGTGAAATTTGATTATGCATATTTGATTGGCTTTGGGTGATTGTATTATATTTTAGTCATATATGTGCAATATAGACTTAGTTTGAAAGTGTCTTACTTAGACATGATCTTTTTAGCTGAATAATGAGAATGAAATGAAAAGCATATGATGAGTAAAATGTGATTAAGGAATTAGTGTGAATAATTACAGAGATACATTGAGAGTATAGAGTTTTGAGACAATTTTAAAAATCTGAGAAAAATATAGGGTGGTGAATGACATTCGCGTGTGTGTATATAATCTATCTGAAAGTGAATGCATTACATGGCCTCACACTTGTTTCCTAACTAGACTCTTGACGATACCTTTGTTAAGGGATCTGCTATTGTATACATTGTATCCGTGTACATGGGCTAACTGATGACTATTTACCTATCAGTGTAGACCTAATGAAGTGCTAG